GTCCAGTTGTGGGGCCTGAACTCTGGGCCTGGGCGCTGTCCCTCAGCTCTTCAGCTCAAGGTTAGCACTCTACCACTTGAGCCACAGCGCCACTTCTAGCTTTTTTCTTTATGTGGTGCTGAGGAATTGAACCCAGGGCCTCAGGCATGCAAGGCAAGCGCTCTACCACTGAGCCACCTTCCCAGCCCCAAAACTATGAATTCTTAACATGAAGATTAAATAAGGAAAACAGCAGTGTCAAGCCTTGGGAACTCAGAGCTCTGCCAGTGTGGTCTTCACAAGGCTGTGGTTCCGTTGTGGGAGTCTAGCTCCTCACTCCTGGTCCCCACAGCACCCAGAGATCCTGTGGACCTGAAGTGGGCCATGGACACACTGCCATTGGTCAATTTCCTTTCCCCAGACTTGTTTGCGCTAGTACTAGGGACATTGAGTTGTTGTTGGCCGCTCATTTGTGTGTTTCTGTAGCCTCCCGGGGCGCGCTGGACTCCGGTGCAGCCACCTTCCGAGGCAGTCTTCCCCACGTCCATTCTCTTTCAAACTCCACCCCAGGCGCCACGAATCCCAAGAGCTGGGCCCAGGGTTGGGTGGCCACGTGCAGAGCAGAGGGGCCTCCTCCGGCAGGCCTGGGACAGTGCAAGGGACAGAGAGGCCGTTTCCCTCATACTGTCCAGCTCAGAAGGGGACCGAGTGAGTTCTCTGGACTTGGGCTTCCTGTGTCCACCGCAGGGCTGGGGCGATGCCGTCCTCAGGCCCAAGCTGTTGATGTGGCAGGGAGCACGCAGCCCCGCAGATGCACCTGGCCTGGGTCTCTGAGCTCTGCCCCTCACTGGTCAGGAGGAGGAAGGCCAGGCCAGGGTGCCACACTCGGTGGGGCCCGGATTACAATTCCAACTTGACACATGGTGAGCGGAGGCCCGGGAGGCCGAGCCACTCAGGTTCCTAGGGCAGGCTGGGACATCAGGCACCGACTCCTCAACGGGTCCTCAGTCAAGAGGCCCACACCAGCCCCGCTGGGGTCAGGAAGCTCGCGCCAGCCACCGCGGGCTGGCGCCCAGGCAGGTGTGAGGAGTCGGGGCACGGGGGGATGTGCAGTCTGGGAGTGGGGGGCACCAGGATTGTGGGGTGCGCAGGCAGGTTGAGGAACCGGGTGCACGGGGGGATGTGGAGAGTCTGGGGGTGTGGGGGGGGCACCGGGATTATGGGATCTTTGTGGCCATCTGAAGACAGAGCTCAGAGTAGTCCCAGGTCTTTGGCAGGCTGAGACCGGAGGGTTGCTTAAGCCCAGGTTAAAGCTAACCTAGAAAAAACAGATGGGCCAAATTAAGTCCAGAATCACCCAGCACAGAATCAGGGGAACTAGAACCTTCCAGGGTTTTGGTTTCCATTTGTGGGTTTTGTTTTGTTTTGTTCTTTTTTTCTGAGACAGCCTCCTCCTATGCAGCTCAGGCTGCTGGGAGCACAGGATTCCCGGCTGCGGTCCCAGCTGTTGGGGCCACACTGGTCTTTCTTTTCCTCCTCAAAGTCCAGCCTCAGCCTGACAAGCATCCTGCATTCCTAGTGCTAGGTGGTCCCGGTTACTCCACCAGGATCCTGACATCCACAGCATTCATCTGGTGTCCTACCGGGCACCGGCGGCTCACACCGTAAGCCTGCTATTCAGTGGGCCTAGATCTGAGGATCACGGTCCTAAGTCCAACTGAACAGGAAAGCCTGTGAGAACCCTGTGGTTCTAATGAACCACCAGAAAAAAAGCCATAAATGCATCTGTGGCTCAAGTGGTAGAGCGCTCACCTTGTGAAGAAAAAAATGCTCCTCAGATGATATGATGCCATGTCAACTTTATTTTACCACTCTCTTGACAAAGTGCAATTTGATCTTTTTGACAAATTGTTGGCATGACTAAAACCATGAAGTCTAATATTCCTCTAAGGCGATTTGGTAACTATGGTGACGTGCCATCACCGAGGGCCTTCAACACAGGAGCAGCTGTCAAGAGCACCCCTGGCCTTCTGTTTAGACAATGCCATCTTCTGCCTCCACTTCACAAGATTAAGAATGGTGACATCCCCTTGAAATCTCTCTTGAAACAATTGGTCATTTACATCCCATTGGTCCTTCTGAACACATGCTCACCGCCACCCAAACCTACCTCCCGCTCACCACGCTATGGAGGGACACGGGTCCAAGAGGCCCTCACGGACTCTTGTCTGGCAGGAGCAGTTTCTTGCCACCTGGTCCCCAGGGCAGACCACAACCTCCATGCTGGCTTCCTTAGAATGAGAACAAAGGGCAGGGGCGTGGCCCTCCTCTCACAGGGGCTAGCCCCTTCCACCGCCACCGTCGCAGAAGCGAGTCTTCGAGTCCAGTCTGCCCGTCCCCAGCAGGTGCTGCACCCGGCGTAATACCAGGCAGTAGGCCCACGGGGCAGACAGAGAATGGTGAGGGACCTCTAGGCGCCTCTCACTCCAGCTCCCCCCCCCGGCCCCACGGGGCAGACAGAGAATGGTGAGGGACCTCTAGGCGCCTCTCACTCCAGCCCCCCCCCCCCCGGCCTCACGGGGCAGACAGAGAATGGTGAGGGACCTCTAGGCGCCTCTCACTCCAGCTCTCCCCCCCCCCCGGCTTTTTCCTACCTGCGTCTGGGACACCTGCCCAAGCCCAGGGAGCCAGCTGACCTTCCAGGTGTGATGGGGTCAGAAAGGCAGGAATGAGAGAGCAAGCCACCCTCCTCCCCACACCAGTGGGAGGCTCCGAATGACCCTCAGGGAATATGAAGCCAGGCCTTCCTCCGATGTGTATCCGTGTGTCGTTGTTCTTGTTGTGAGTCTAGGCTTTAAACAACACAAATCTCTCCCAGCCTTCCTCAGCCATGGCGCGGGCAGGGCTGGAGGCTCCCCTCACCCCAGCAGCCCAGTCACCGGTTCCTGCAGTGCACCCTCCGTCTCTGCCGTCTGGCGTGGGCTCCTCCTCTGTTCACCCTCCCTCCTTTCAAACAAGGCCATGTTCCAGGTCCCAGGGATAAGGATGCTGTCTCCTTAGATAACCTACCTAGGCCTGTGCCCTGCCCACCCACAGAACTGGACAGTACGTTTGCGAGGGTCTGCTGTGTGCCAGGCCTTGTCTTGAGCAGGGGAAGGAGCAGACATCTGCCCGGAGCTCCAGGAGGAATCAGGACACAGAAGGAAGCCTTTGGGTACCACAAGCCACCATGGAGAAATCGGAAGGAGGCTAGGCTTGGGAGCGGCGGTTCTGCCTGTCTGAGGGGTGACAGGTGACCAGGACCCAAGGGCACGCTGGGAACGCTGGCAGAGGAAGGTCTTGCTGTCATCCCTGGCCTGGTGGGCAGACAGCCGAGGCTCAGGCTGCAGGGCAGGCCACAGGGCTGGGTGTCAGGCCAACTGTGAGGGCCTGGATTTGGTCCTCCAAGGAAGGAGAGGCCCGGCGGCCTCCCAGCATGAGCCTGGGGTCTGGCGAGTCATTATTAGGGCTCCTAGGCCTCAGAAAGGCACGAGGGCGCAGGCGCCATTTGCTACGGCCAAGCAAAGGGCTGGCGATGCGTGCCCCCGCCCCGTACCCTGGTTGTGGCACCGAGCATGCCCGGACCCCACTCATTGCTCAGACACTCGGGTGGCCCCGCAAAGACGACACCAATCACGCGGGGCGCGGGACCCGGCTCCGTGGACGGGCTGGATTTCAGCCTTCCACCCTGCGGAGCCCATCCTCTCCTGGTGAGGAGAGGCCGGGGCCAGGGCGAGTGCGAGAGGGCAGGGGCGCGGGAGCGGGGGCG